AAACAAGTCATTATTTCTTGGCCTGGTGAAACTAATAGACATTTCTCTCTACACCCGCCAAAGTCTTATATTAGAACGCAGCAGTGGTGCTTTTGGGCGGTCGTCACTGAAGTTCTGGCGGTGGCCAACGTCGGAAAAAGCGAGACGCTCCCGTTCGTTTCTCGTCTGTCTTAGGCCGTCTTACTTTCCGCTGGCCGGTTCGTGTTGTTGTTTGTAAGTAGCGGTTTGGGTTCCATTTGGTCCGCGACAAGCTCGATCGAAGTTCCATCGAGTGTATGATCGATGGGTACCTTTTTGCGGGAAGTGACTACCCCTGAAACAATTTGTTACGTAGGAAGCGACACCGGCTTCCTCCACCAGGCTGTTCTCTGCTCGTCAGTTGCCACACTCAGAGGAGGCGCTGGTGATACTGGGTCCGCTCATCTTCTTAGAACCTGTTTCAAATACTCGCAAGTCGACTTGCTCTTTCGCAGTGGTGTTAGTTCAAAATAATCGGAGTAACCTATGGTACCCTACTCTGACGATGATTAAAGAAAAACTACAGCGTCCTTGTTTTCGTGTTGGCGAGTAAATATATAAGATTATCACATAATAGCTTTTCGAGAACTTCCAGACTCCTCGACGCGTCGATGATTTTTCGAGTTCTTTCCTATGAACTGTTGGTCCTCTCGCTCTCATATAAGAGGGTGACATCACGCTGACTCTTGTTGACCTTTCTCAAACCAGCAATAGATCTGTAGACCAACTAAACTCATTTAATGACAATGGTTGTAAGTGATAGCCATTACCCGCGTGCGGGAGTCATTACCAACCGTGCGTTGCCCGTCCGAGACCGATCAGAGCGAACTACCCAGCCAGAGGCGGACTGTCAGGGCGCGCTTATGTGCGTTCCTTGCTACCAGTGCGGTAGTGCTGTTCTTGAGAGCGTGGGGGGGGTAGATATGTTGTCTGTGTCCCGACTGACGTGGTGAGTGTCAGGTTTACGACGTTTCAAAACTTCACCGCAGACAGTACTTCTACCAACGAGCGTGACAGGACAGCTGTTTGGCGTGAGGCCTTTTTAACCAACACTTTGTGTCGTCACAGGGTCCCCGGAAAGGAGAGGAGCTCAGAACTCAGACGTGCTCCTAACCGAGCTTGATGTCGGTCTCTTAGCGCCACAATATCCGACTCGTTTCACAACGCGGCAAAGATGGCTGGACGATGGGGTTTAGTGTGGAAGGACGTCAGATTTCCCTTTGCCACTGCTCTCGACGGCCTCCGGTCTTGCCTTGGTCCACTGTTCTTTGAAAATTCTGCACTCCATCAACTTTTCGTTAACGTTAGCCATTTTTGCTGTCCTGAACACTGACAGTTCTCTACGCGTGCGTTGTCTGTCACTCACTTGATCTCCATCATGTCGGGTGACGACAATTCGGCAAATATAGTGCATTTTATTTTATAACTAAATATAATTTTTTTAACTGAAACAAAATCAACAAAATACCAAACGCAGACATGTTATTATTTTCCAAAAACCAATTTGAAAAAAATAAGCCATGACGACTTTTGGGGATTTGCCTCATAGGGCCGGTTCAAGTAGTGGGGGGCAGAGGGGGTGGGGGCCGGTCAAAGGGGGGTGGCGGGCCGGATCCGGCCCCCGGGCCGTAGTTTGGTGACCCCTGATTTAGATGATCCAGAAGAGGATTGGGAGAATGTCATATGGTCAGATGAAACCAAAATAGAACTTTTTGGTAAAAACTCAACTAGACGTGTTTGGAGGAGAAAGAATGCTGAGTTGCATCCAAAGAACACCATACCTACTGTGAAACATGGGGGGGGGAAACATCATGCTTTGGGGCTGTTTTTCTGCAAAGGGACCAGGACGACTGATCCGTGTAAAGGAAAGAATGAATGGGGCCATGTATCGTGAGATTTTGAGTGACAACCTCCTTCCATCAGCAAGGGCATTGAAGATGAAACGTGGCTGGGTCTTTCAGCATGACAATGATCCCAAACACACCGCCCGGGCAACGAAGGAGTGGCTTCGTAAGAAGCATTTCAAGGTCCTGGAGTGGCCTAGCCAGTCTCCAGATCTCAACCCCATGGAAAATCTTTGGAGGGAGTTGAAAGTCTGTGTTGCCCAGCGACAGCCCCAAAACATCACTGCTCTAGATGAGATCTGCCTGGAGGAATGGGCCAAAATAGCAGCAACAGTGTGTGAAAACCTTGTGAAGACTTACAGAAAACGTTTGACCTCTGTCATTGCCAACAAAGGGTATATAACAAAGTATTGAGATGAACTTTTGTTATTGACCAAATAATTATTTTCCACCATCATTTGCAAATAAATTCTTTAAAAATCAGACAATGTGATTTTCTGGATTTCTTTTCCTCATTCGGTCTCTCATAGTTGAGGTATACCTAGGATGAACATTACAGGCCTCTCTCGTCTTTTTAAGTGGGAGAACTTGCACAATTGGTGGCTGACTAAATACTTTTTTGCCCCACTGTATATTGGTTATTTTGTTTTCACAGATCTGATTATTTGTATAAGCATGCAAGGATGGGCAGTTACATTTAATGTTAATGGACAGGTCAATGTGCATAGGTAAATAACTCTATACATGGATAAAAATAAACAAATAGAAGTGAGGAAGGCAAGACATTTCTTAGCTAAAAACTTATCAGAATGAAGGCATATTCAGGGTTAACTCCCTTTAAATCTAGCTGACACTAACCTATCTTGTAAAAATCATAATCTATTAACCTTATACCTTTCCTGCCCTTTTTAGTAAGCTATCATTTAATTGTTGAACTGCTTTCTGTTTACATGCCAGTGTCACCGCTCAGCAACACTTCAGCGATTAGCTAAAAGGCCCTTCAGGCTGATGACTGAGTGTCTGTGGGGCCTCCAGCACTGTCACAGCTCATGCTGTTGCACAAACAACTTGATTTTCCCTTCAGTGCATGCTTTTACATTATTCCCCTGCATTTTTACATTTCAGTCGATCCCAGTTTTGTTGTTTCAGGCAGGAACAAGCAAGTAAACATGTTTAACAAATACATGCACAGATCTTTTACGCAGATAACTGCAACATTGGAGCTCTCCTTTATATCAGGCAGTTTCTCCTCCATTTAATTAGCTCACTAACCCAGAAACACAAATAAAATTGGATCACTCTGTGGGTCTGTTTTTAAAAAGGAGAACAAAAAACAAATCAATGTTCTACTAATTTTGAGAATCACATTGAATGTATGCCAACTCTCTGGCATGAGCTATTAACAACATTGACCAGAATCTATTTAACACATTTTCTACTATAAAAAGAGCACAAATGTACCAAAAATAGACCTATATGTATCTAGACCATTGTCAGATACTGTCCCATTGCTGCAAATAGGCTAATTGCTCTTCAAAAAATGGGACAGAGAGAACGAAAGCAGGAGAGAACGAAAGAGTGGGACAGGAGAAAGCCTTCATGCAGGTATGGAGGGAGACGATTACGATGAAATTGAGCAAAATACATTTCAATTTGGGAATATAAACTGTTTTCTGTTGAAAATAACTGGCAAGGGAGGAAGATGGCGAGAGATGGACGTAAAGACAAAAAAGGGCAAAGGACATGAGGAGGAAGAGATGCAGAAGCACAAAAAATAATGCGGAGGACCTAAGGAAAAACCTACAGTCTCCTAGCAACGTCATGATATGCTGAGAATAAATAGCCACATAAAATGCAAATTCTAAGTTTTATATGGGATGACACACACACACACACACACACACACACACACACACACACACACACACACACACACACACACACACACACACACACACACACACACACACACACACACACACACACAAACTGCTGAAGCAAGAAACTTTTTTATTTTCTGAACATTACACGTGCTGATGTTCAGAGCACTGAAGGAGGCAGAAGGTGCTCAGCATCACACATGCCCTCATTGTTTTGTTTTTGTTTAACTTCACAAAATTTTTAGGCTGCTGAGGGGATTAAGCAAATGTTAACCTAATAACATCACCTGAAAACCTGCTTGATTGATTTAAAGAAAGAAGAATGTTTGACTTCATGTCGTTTAAATCTAATGTTCTCTCTTATTCATAGAGGACACACTGCTTTCTGGAGCAGCCGTGGATCTGCGCAGGAAGAGGGGCACCTCACATGGGAGTGTGTGACCGTGTGTGTGAGGGTGTGTGTTCAGGCCTCCTGCCGTCGCCCGCTCTTCCCGGACAGGCATGGCGGGGGTCCGGAAGCTCGGCTCCAGGAACCAGAGGCCGTGGTCGGTGTACCGAGCCAGCACCTTCGAGCTGTCCAACGAGATGATCGGACTCGCTCTCGCTGGTGAGGAGCAGCATCTCAAAATGAAATTGTTTCTAAAAAAATGTCAAAAATACGAATGTATTTACATTTCTAAATCTAAAGAGAAAAGTAGCACATTCTACAGATACATTTTTGTCTTGTGCCTGAAGTCTTATTATATTTTAAATTAGATATATATATACGTTTTTTTTAAATTTATGCGTCAACATCTATAAAGTTCATGAACTAATCTGTTTATAATCACTATCGCTTAATGGCTTAGAGATGTTGTTAAAGGATTATACACACCACTAATAAAACAATACTAAAAACTATGTAAATGCCTTTGAGTAAACAAAAAACATAATTTCAATTAACTTTCATAATTTAACACTATCAAGGGATGGCCAGTGTTAAAAAAGAGCCTTGCTTTTCTCTCAGCCACTTGCAGCATCACTACATTTCAAATGACTCTCACAAACACAGAGTATTAAACCTGTAGGTCACCTCTTGAACCACAGTGAACCACCCTGAAGCAGACCATAATGAGTCCAGAGGACCGTGATGTAATGTTATATACGTTAACGTATCCCAGTAGATATTCCAGTTAGTTTAAGAGTCTGCACTGCTTATAGCTCAGAGGAGAATTCTAAACAAATCAAAGTGTGACGAATCGTTTCTCTTTTCAACCTGGTGGTCTAATTGCTATCATCTACATATATCAGGGATGGGCAAATGGCGGGCCGCGGTCCGCATGCGGCCCCCACCTCCTCTTTTTGCGGCCCTCAGATTAATTTATGAGCAACGTAATTAATTAAAAAAATATATATTTTTAATTTTTTTTTACTTGTAGTAATTATAGTGTCCACTAGACTCCTAATTACGTCGCGAGCTGCGTACATGATTTCAAATACCGCGAAATAATCTGTAACGCATTTGTGTGTATTGTGTTTGTTTCCCGGGGAAACCCTCACAAGAATTACAGGCTGTTGTTATGCCTGCTGTGACGTTAAGTTGCCTCTTGTAATTATGCCTTTACAAGCTTAAAAGTTGTATTAATCATCTGAATTTGGCGAAACAAGTTTAATATTCTTAAAACCAAGACTTTGTTTATTTGAAATCAGATGAAAACAAACTGTCACGGACCCTGCCGTGTTATCTATGATTACTACGCTTTGCATTCATAATTTCAGAGGGAGGGAGGGGGAGTGGTGCTGAGGAACAGCAGAGTGCGGGCTGACAGGTGTCTGTGTTGACATTCCCCTTATTGTGCGTCAGCAGAGACGGGCTACAAGTGTCTTAGGTTCAAGTTAGACAACTAATGTCTGGGTTAGTGTTCATGACTTCATGTGTATGTCATCTTAATGGTTAATCTCAATACACACACATTTTCCGTGTTTTCCAATAGTTTAAAATAGTTTTATTCCACTGTTTAATAACCTGTTCAATACAAACATGCCACTTGTAAAAATGAAATAACATTTCTGTGAACTGATATTTGTTACAAATATCAGTTCACAGAAATGTTATTTCATTTTTACAAGTGGCATGTTTGTATTGAACAGGTTATTAAACAGTGGAATAAAACTATTTTAAACTATTNTATTTCCACCGTAGGGCTAAAAAGTATTTTCTTTGCGTTCAAGGTCACTGCAATCAAGATGCACAAAAAATGGCGTTTTCTAAAATCTGCTTTCGCCTATGCTGTTGCTGAGGTTGGCGGCTGAAAAATAAGCCACATCAAATTATCCTCTGAGATGTTATCAGTGGTGGCGTGTGTCCTACTATTACATCAAGGTTATGGGGGTGTGCAGTGATTATGGAGAGGGAGATTAGAGAGAGAGAGAGAGGAGAGAGAGAGAGAGAGAGAGGTGAGAGAGGAGATGAGGAGGAGAGAATTTTAACTACAAATCCAGAAACGATCAATTAAATTTGGCTACATCTAACAGAGAAAGTGACCCCTCGCACGCACTTCTACCACCACACCACAGCCCTGCAGCATCACAGAGATGAACAAGAGTTCCACTCACTCAGCTGGCTCCCTGACACTCTGTTCACAAACCGCTTCAAACTGTGACTCAGCGCCAGGGCTAGAGCCCACATCTATCAGATCAACCAGACTGATAAACAAAACACACACACAACACTACCTCACTTCATTGGAACACTGACTCACAAACACACACGTACAATGTATTCTGTTGATGTCATTGATCAAACCTTTGTCAGTTAACGGAGATTTGTCCCAATGAGGATCATTGATCACTTTTTCATTCTGAGAGAGACATGCAGCATATGAAGCTTCCACTATAACATATGACATTAAAAGATCATCATCATGTTTAACCGGTTTACAGGGATACATTACCATAGTTATAGAGGATTTAGGGCAGAGTGGAGGCCCATAGTATCAACAATCGATGTCATTTAGAGACCTAGCTTCTCTGAAACATGCCCGAGACATGGACCACTTGCTCGAGTTCGAAAGAGGTTCTTGCTGATATTGTTCAAATGAACAATGGAGCGCGCATACATAAAGGACTGTCTATGTTAGTAGTGGACAGTCCTGGCACCTCTTTTGAGCACATCTAACAAATAGCTACATGCATGACGATGATCAGACAGTAGGCGCTTGCAACTCTCTGCTGTGATCAGTGAACAGACTGTAATACGGAGTTTACACAAAGCTTTATAAATAAACGTGTGCTCTAATGATGAGCCTCTAGTTACAGTACAGTGGCATGGCAAACCTGCCTTGGCATACAGCAGTACAGATGATGTGCTTAAAGTGCTTTCAATTCCCTGTATGACAAGGATCTCACGGTGTGCTGCTGATAGGCGGCTTTTTATGCGTATTCTGGGCCCCTAAAAGGCCATAGGCCACACTGTGGCTGTACATACTACCTAGGAGCGCCGCGTGTTTACTGTGTTAAAACATGGAGAACGTTGTTATCCAATGGTACAGCACTGCCAGTGCTCATACAGTGGGTTTGTTGTTCATAGCAGGCGTGGGTACCAGAACACATGGCCTGCCAAAAGAGGGCTATCATGCCCACAGTGTGATGGAATGCTGACTTGTGGTCAGGAGCAGCATTTTCCGTGCTCACCATGACAACTTAAAAGTTTCATGAACACTCAGAGTCGATAACATTTGATGCCAAAGACTCAACCATAAGCCATCGTCGAATAGAGACAAACTTGCTCAATTCGAGACGTTTAGAATACGTGGTTCTCTGCTTATAAATGATGTTGCATTTCAGGCAGTAATGTTACTGTCTCTGAGCGCCTGGTCCATGTCAGAGGTCACGTTTGTCTCTTCCCACAGTAGATCAGAGACAGGGAAAATATGGGAATAAAATAGGGCAGCATGCGATGCCAAGGTTCAATCTACGCATGGTAATATGCAGATATACATCTGGCATATCTGCTGGTGGTATGTCATGATATTATATGAATGGAATGCAATCTGTTTTCCTTGTAACGATAACACATGTTCTTCAGGGAGTTTTTTTATAACTCTTTTATTTATTTGTCTAGCGCTGCGAATGCTGTTTACGCATTGGTTGCTTATAGTACTACAAATCTATTGAGCTTCCCCTTTATTGGTGTAGACATGCTCGTTTCTCATCGAAGCTTTGCCTTCACCCGAGACCTATGACTTGGTGTTATCATCGCCCTTATAACAGAGAAATGTTCTTTGATGGCTCCTCCATAGCTATCAGCTGTGAGCTACAGGGATGACATACACCATTAAAATCATCGAAAGACTATCAATCACCTGCTCAGGAATCGATGGTAACCTTGACAAGGTTAAGTGTGTCACAAATATTTACATTGGCTAGTTGTCTTCTTCAAATATTCAGCTTTTTTATAGACTCTTTGTTCTAACATTGACCGAGTCAATAGCAGAACTGCAGTGACGCTCGTCGTAAAACCAGTACGTAAGCTTTAGGCCATTTTTTTAGCCACTAGGTCCGGTGATCATGTGTTCTCATTAAAAGCAATGCATAAATTTTTTCCATAAGGCGTTTTGGAACTAAAACTGCATATACCAGTCTCTGATAAGACAAATAGTCACAATTACGATATGTTTCAAATTATAAATAATTCATTTATATTTTTAACTCAGAAAACGCGTAACATTTCCATATAAAAAAAGATCTTTTGGCCCTAAATTCCCAAAACCAAAGGGGAAACATGTATGGTATTGGGTTGGACTGAAGCAAAACTAAAAGGTGTAACACAAATGGATTGACATTTCCCATACTTTATTCTTTGAAATAAAGAGTCAAGCAAGACGTGGGCGCGGGTCAAAAATGAACCCAGAGGGCACAAGGTGTGATTATGTGTTGTTATTAAAAATATATAAATTATTCAAAAAGGGCCATCCTTACGTAAACTTTGGACATATCCAGCCTCTGATAAGACAAATAGTCACAATACAATATGGTCAAATTAATTCATTGTTTCACTTTTTTTTTTTTATCAGAAAATGGTATAATTTCATATAAATAAGGGTCTATCAGCACTAAATTCCAAAACTGAGGGAGAAATGTGTGGTAATGGGTTGTACTGAGGTAGAACTAAAGGTGTAACACAACATTTATTCACATTTTATACTTTATGCGTTAAATATCAAACAAACCAGATGGGGTCATTTTTGACCCCAGAGGGCACAAGCTGCATAGTAATCGGGAGGACATTACGAGGGTTAAACCTAAACAACACAATCCTACATTTGTGAGCACAATTTTAGGTACAATTACCGCATCAGATCCATATGGATGAAAATAGAAAAGTGTCATACCTGAGCGCAGCAGGGGGTCTTTGCATAGCGAGGCGTACTTGATTCTGACTCCCATCGACTCTGTGAGGCTCTCATCGACCGGCAGCACCGTCTGCAGGACACACACATGACCAGGTGTTACACAGAGTCACCTAACACCTTGATCAGCCGTTAGGCCTATACTCACAAACCTCATCCACACACACATGTCCTTTCACTGCCCTGTGCGGCTGTGTGACAACTTCATCTCTACATATACAAGGCTAAGTGTCTTTTGTTGAATTAGAAAGCACTAAACAAACACAGACAAACAGGAAACACATTTGTCACATTAGTCGAGAGGCGATGGCCACCAACTGCCGGAAATACGACTCACTAGTAAATAAACTGAAATGACAAAGTATCATCTGGTCTGTTGTCTTTCAGGCATACGGGGCCAGCAGTCAGAAATGAATCTAGCTGAGGTTTAATGATGAGTGTTTTTTTTATATTTACCCTCAACAGATGACAATATTTTTTCTTTAAATACAGAATTGAAATGTTTAACCGAATGCTCCAGGAGGACCGTGTCCCTCACCCGCCCGTTGATGCCGTCTGGCAGCCAGCCGGTCGACACCCTCTGGTCTGCTCTGTCCTCCATCTGCCAGGCAGCCACGGTGATGTTCCCCACGCGCTCGTTCTCCGCTGATCTGTCCAATCAAACACCGGCACAATGTGTATGGATAGAAATGAGATAAAAGTACTTCTATTTTTTTGTAAATTAATTTAAATAATGAATTGTTTACTCCATGATATGCCAAAAAAAGGGGAAGAAAACTAAGATGATAAATCAACAAGGATATAAAGCAGAAGTACCAAAACAAGTAGATTTGGAGAATACATTTGTATTGACTAAATGATTAATCAAATAACAGTTTCAATGTCAGAGAGTGTGTGTGTGTGTGTGTGTGTGTGTGTGTGTGTGTGTGTGTGTGTGTGTGTGTGTGTGTGTGTGTGTGTGTGTGTGTGTGTGTTCAAGTGAAAAAAAAGGGGACAGATATGGCCTCACTTCCCCAGCTGATCTCATACATAAAGACCCTCTTATTTATTTGACACGTTTTCTAAAATGATAAGTTTAAATATGCAAATGAGGGTTTATTTTACTAAATATCTGCTTATTTGCATATATGTCCAGAACAGAAATG